CAAGTTTCTCTTTAAAATCTGCCTTCACTCCTAATATTTTTTTTGTATCGAGTAGCCTTAGGTTACTCACCTGTGAAGTAAAGGAGTGGAACAAGATATTCTTATGTTTAATTTTTTTTCACTAATTCATTTTTTAACTTGACTACACTCTATCTGTATAACTTCTCTTGTATATCTAATTTGCCATTATCTTAATTCTTACCTTACAGAAAATTTATAATATTTCATGCTTAGTTTAATACCTGGCTTTCATTTTTCATGTTTCTCTTAAATAGTACACTATTCTAGAATGTCCTTCCTAATAAATTGGGCTTCAGTGGTGCCAACCTACATTCCAATTCCTTAGTCTTTTCTGGTGCTGTGTAGGTCCTTACTTTTCTATGTCACTGTTGCTAGAGGACCTTCAAAGACTTTACATTTGGTTCAGCAGCTTATTCTCCATCCCTGATTTTATCTTGGCAATGATCACCAGCTACTTTATGGAATGAAGCTAACCTTAGTCTAAGAGGAGATTGAGAGGACATAACATAAAGGTCAGTCTTTTAACATGCCCCATCTTCCACCTATGAGCTTTAGTTCACATGGCAACTTGATATTTCCTTGTTTCTAAATAAGTGAACATAAACTTTCAGACCATATACAAATATTTATTACTTTTGTTTTCAGTTACCTGCTTACTGACCTTAATAGGGTACTTCCTCTTAATATTTAACTTGTAAAGCTTTCATATACTATTTTTAACTTTAGAGATCCTATGGTCTTTTTTACTTTGAAAGTATTCAACAGTTCTCTATATTACTAGAAATAAAACGAGCTGAGTCTCCTTATTTCCTCCTTACATGTTAGAGTAGTAGCACAATTCCATATGTATTTAATATATATATATATATATATTTTGAAATTAAAGGTCAAGTCAATTACACTGTTTTAAAATCCTCTTTTATTCTACATTTCACTTGAGGATTCCATTTTTTATGTCAGATTTTTAATATGTATCTGATCTTTGAATACGTTTTCTTTCAACAAAGTCCATTTAGAATTTTTCTTTGAATTTATGCAATATCTTTTACCTTGCTAAGGATATTAATGCCATTTGATTTATTTTGTTCTTTATCGTTTATGTTAGAAACTCACGGCAAGCTATAGGTGCTTAGTTAAGGATGAAAAACTATGAGCTTCACTTTAGGGTGATTTAGTGGTTCATTTTTTGTAAATCCATGATATGCGCCTTTAGGTGTAGTTGTTATAGTACAATAATTAAGACTATGAGCTGGTAGCCTATTTACCCATGTTTCACTCCTTTGGCCAGGAGGAAGCCACATGAATTCAGGTGAACTATTAACTGCTCTGTTTTCATTTTCTAATTTTAGAATGGAGACAAAAATATCTACCACCTAATAGGAATCTTACAAGACTTAAATGATTTATTATGTACAAATAATTTATAATAATGTTTGGCACATGCTGAACTCTATATGTGTGTTAACTGCTATTATTACCTTTTATGTTGTTATTGTTTTATTTATATTATTACTATCTCTTTAGAGAGGTTCAATTTTGCTTAAAAATATCTTCCTGGAGGAATTCAAAGATCAAAGACAGGTAGAGGGCTGACTGATCTCAACACTGGTTATAGAGTCCAATGTGTTCCTTCTGGTTTCAGGGTGGCTCGCCTAGATCAACTCATCCAGTGTTCTCTTGTTTAGTTCCCACAGAATAAAACCTCTAGCCCGTTGCTTGGGTGGGATGGAGCAGTCACAAAGTTGCTCAGAGATAGTTGTTTTTAAGACAGTTTTTAAATAAATTCTACTTTTGTTAGACCTTTGATCATTCTGGCTTTGAGAGGGATATAGAAATGCTAATCTCAGAAACTTTCGCAGGGGAGAAGGCGGCCCTAAAGGTTGGTTAGCTAAATTGCAACTCATCTGTCTGCATTCCTCCTTCCAAAATTTTATTTCTGCTGCACTTTATCTGATTTTCTTTGCCTTGCAGTTTCATGCCATAGGAGAGAATATGTGTTCAAAGATGATATTCAACCTTCCATCTTTGCCAGAGTACTTAGTGTTTTTTAAGAAAAATAAAACACGAGCAATTGATAGTATTATGCTCTCTTTTTAACAAACAGAGTAACATAAATGTCTCACTACTGCATAGTGTTTTTACATGTAATGTCTTATTTAATCCTCACAAAAACCTTAGAAGTTTGGTACATATTTGACTACCATGTAAACTAAAATTAAAAAGAGATTAAGTAGCTTGCATCAGAACATATATTTTTAACAAGAGATAAAGAATTAGTGATCATTCTGACTCAGACCTACATTATTCAGAGTTTATCTATACATTAGTTAAGTATAGGTAATCAATTATTCATGTGTGGCCATATTTATAGAGAAAAGTACATGGTTAGCTTCATATTCAGCATAAGTGTTTTGTTCAGATACTTTCATCATGTACTTTATAAGCCATCTTAGGTGCTTTAAATTTAAGTGTTTCAGTAAAATTCATGTTGTTCAAGTCTTTTGTTTTTGAACTAGTGATGACTGTACTATCTTCACTACTGAAAATGATAAAAGTAATAAAATTTCCTGGTGACCCTAAAGACTAGTTTTGTATTTTAACTTTCTATAGAAATAGTTTGAATTTAAAGGCATCACGTACCACACACATACATATGTGCAATCTACAAAGACTTTAATCTTATCTCCCATATCTGGCTACACAGTGTTGTGTTTTATAGCCATAACTGATAGATGACTGTGCTCAGTTGGAAATTGTAGTCAAAGAATGAACCAAACTAGCAAGCAAGTCATGTAAAGTGTGAGTGAGCAGCAGATAGTCAATATTTCTAAACTGAAATATTTGGATGTCTATTATGAGAAACAAAACAATTTGGGTAACTTTTCTATCAAATCCTGTTATCCCATATAAGAATACTAGAAATAGGTTTATTTTCTGTAGACAGGAAAGATGATTGAAGCTGTGCAAAAGTCATAGACAATAGATTCAAGAAAACCAGAAGTATATTAAGAGATATTTAAGTAAAAATGGAATATAGGAAGTTATTAAAAAAGACCTGTTGTATAGCACAGAGAACTCAATATTTTGCAATGGCGTGTATGGAAAAAGAATCTAAAAAAGAATGTATATATGTATACACTCTAGCCTGGCAGGTCTATGGGATGGCAAAAGAGTCAGACACAACTTATTGACTAAACAACAACAAAGATGTTACATTTTAAATTGTCAAGTAGTGAACATGCAGTTTTGATTATATGAATTTTTAGTATTACATTCATGGGATTGTGTTTATTGTCAGTCATAGATTCACTAAATCAAAAACTATGTCCAATTTTAATTTTTATATAAAATCTTTTTAATATGAAGGTGAGCTCTGATTTTGATTTTATTTTGTATTTTGACCTCACTTAATCTAAATCATTAAGAGAAAACATTTTTTCACCTTTGAAAGGAAATGAACTTGTTATAGCTAGCCTCATTATATTCCTAATTTGGATAGCATAATGTATCTTTGCAAAATCTCACTATTGGTCATAATTATTCCAGTAAGAATATCACCATAGTCTTAACTATTCCTTTCATTTCCCATTTCTACTCCAAACATTTGACTATTTTCCTTAAAAACAACGACATTCCACCATAGCTGCCCAAATTTGTTATCATGCCAATCTCATTCTGGGAGCTCTAGCTGCCTTCTTTCAAGGACTGGCCTTTCAGCATGTTTTAATGTTCATTGGAGAGCAAAGGTTTACATTTTTATTGCTTCTTAGCTCTAAAGCTATACTTGTTTTTATAAAGCACATATTAGGTATTTCCTAATATATTACCTAAACACCATTAGGTATTTCCCCACCTCCAAATTATTTTTTTTTCTTCCCATTTTATCATTGAAATAGTGCCATAATTTTTCAAAATATTATTCTGTACTAACTTTTAGGGAAGGGATAATATCACATTTATGTCCTGGCACATGTAGGACTAAATACATGCTTAAACTGCAAAAGACTGTGTACCTATTTATTGGAAAATAATTTCAATGTTTTATGGCAGAACAACCAGTGAGGTAAAAATCCTCCTTGTGTTTATAATTGGAATATTATGTTTTGTGTTGGTATAAGAATGAAACTAAGGTAAGGTTTTCACAAATGAGCTTTCTGTGAGCAGATGCTAACCTTTTCCCTGTTTATGTTTTACCAGTGCCTTCTGAACAAAACCCATTCCTTTCCTTTAGCAATAAGTCGTACTGAAGCCCTACTGAGAATTTCCAGCTGGATATAAAAACTCTTCTATTTTCTTGGTCCAGGAATCCTTAGTTAGTAAGACCTGGATGATTGATTTCCTGTTGTCCTGAGGCAGGTTAAAAGAAGTTCTATGGTGTCCAGATTGTGTCTCAGCAGAAATGTGGTCATCTTACTTGTAATATCCTTATTTGTAACAAATTCCTCTCGTCTCTTCAACTTATATTTATATGTATCCTTGGGGGATAATGTAACATCTGTCTTATAGTCAACAACTGAATTCAGGGGGAAAAAAATCTCTTACACTTTTATAGTGTCGATCGGTGTCCAGTGTCTGCATTTTCCAAATATGATGTTATAGTAATGTTGAAAGATAAAATTATACACATGAGATACTCATGTGAGTTACAAACACAAAAATCCCTCCTTATTAGTCTATTTTATTCTCTCTTTTTTATTGCCTCCTGTGATTTATTAGTTGTGAACTTTTGAATCTTAGGGCATTTTTTATATATTTGCTAAATAAATCTGCTCCATGCCTGGAAATACGATGAAGAAATGCTCTGAGAAATGTTTCTTCACAGATACTGATTTGTTGTTGTTGTTGTTTAGTATCACTGTTACTAATAATACAATGATGCAGTATTATGAGCAAAGTAAATATGGTCAATGTCATCAAAATATTGTAGGTTCACCTGGAAACTAAGGAATATCTTTCTTATGTATCCTGTTTTTCCCCAGAAATCAAAAATCTCCACATATGACAAAATGTGGGCCTTTATGAGCAGCAGGAGACAGTCTGTGCTCGTCAAAAGTAATGAAGAAGGAATCCAGAGAGTCCTCACCTCTGATTATGCTTTCCTAATGGAGTCAACCACCATCGAGTTTGTCACCCAGCGGAACTGTAACCTTACGCAGATTGGCGGCCTCATAGACTCCAAAGGTTATGGCGTCGGCACCCCCATGGGTAGGTTTCCTGTCAGCCACTTCTTCTTTGCTCATTAATCCTAGTTGCTGTGAGAAGGGAGAAAAAACAGTGCCTCCATATGCCATTCGGAATTTTGCTTCAAACAAATGTATCTTACTATATTCTGTGACTATATAAAAACAGGAAAATAGTTGGACATCTGCTTCTAAAGGAATAAGTAACAAAAGAAAACATGATTTCTATTAAAATGGTCAGTAGACATTTTTACTATATCAGAGTTGAAAAAATCCACAACACCTCCCGTAAAGGACCTTCTCTTTAATCTTACACATAAAAAAAAAGTTTGATGAATAAAATAAAGTTTTTTGAACTTAATTTTTTCGGAGTGGTGGTATATGAATATAGTATTTGATTTTGCTGACTAAAAGAATGAGCTGCAAATGGTTACTGTGAATAATCTTTTTATTTAAGAGAAGTATATATTTTATTTAAGAGGACTAGCAGATGATTTACCAGTAAAATACCTAGAATAATTTACACTAGGATTGATTGTATTTAACATTCTTTCTTCTATATGACAAATTCAATAATAATCATGGAATGAAATAATAATAATTGCCAGAAAAGACAATGAAAATTTACATTTATTGAGCTTAATATTTATGTATAATATATGAATATGTATATATTTATAGGATAAGTTAATGAATGAATAAATACATGATATTAGAGCACATACATATATACATGCTGTGGGCATAAAAATGGTTCCCCCCAAATGTCCCTGGTTTAATCCCCCAAACATGTGAATATGTTACCTTTATTGCTAAAAAGGACTTTGCAGATGTGATTAAGTTAAGGATCTTAAAATGGGGAAATTTTCCTGGATTAACCGAGTGGGTCCAATGTAATTGAAAGAGTCCATATAAGAAGGAGGCACAGGGCTCAGAGTCACAATTAAGGAGATACCACAACAGAAGTAGTGAGAAAAAGAATGTGCATATGCTAGTCCACTTGGGCTGCTGAAACAAAATACCAGAGACTGAGTGCTTGAAAAACAATAGTGAATAATGACACTATAATAGTTTTGAAACTTCTGCAAATTTTTCAACAACTGGGTCAAAATTGATTTTCATGTAATTGTATTTAAAAATGGCATAGCCATATTTCTCAATGTATCCTCATTCATAATTTTATTGCTTTTAATTTTGAAAAGTTTCTTTCAAATCAACAAACATGTATACTATAATTAGAAAGTGAGGCACAAATTCATAAAAAATCCCATTTCATGATAAATTCAGAAATTGCAATACTATCCATATCTTTGTTTCTTTGGGATCATTTCTAACAACTTTCAAAAGTCTAGGAAGTCCAAAAATTTTCCACCATAATAACTTCAAAAAATTCAAACTCTTTCATATTTGGTAAAGTTTATTCAAATTCATTATAGCTGAAAATAGTTTGAACTGGCTCAGAGAGAATTTTGAGATATTCACTCCTGTAGCATTGTATATTCCAGCATTTATATGGTAGACTAAAAACAGTGATTCCACAGTCACTGTTGAAATGAAGAAAGCAAAACAAAACAAAACTAGAAAGAATCTGCCTGCATGTGGGAGACATGGGTTTGATCTCTGAGTCGGGAAGATCCCCCGGAGAAGGGAAGTCCACTCACTCCAGTATTCTGGCCTGGAGAATTCCATGGACAGTACAGTCCATGGGGTCACAAAGAGTTGGACAGGACTGAGTGACTCACTTTCACTTTTAAGCTGTATAATGAGGGTTTTCCAATTTAGTTTCCAAGTGGAGTGCAATGTTTATTAAAGAATAAAAAATAAATATTTGCTAATTCAAAGTTCAGTAAGAGTTGGGTTGTTAAAACTCAATACTAAATGTTTAGAACTCGGTGAACAAAAGATATTTTCCAGGGAGAAATGTTTTATTTTTGACATGTTTTGACTTGCCAGTGTGTGGTGATAGTTGTTGCTATTGTTGTTTTAAAATTCTCTGTACAAAATGAACCTCCTTTACTGCTCACACTGGGAACAGACTACCCAAAGCTTTTGCCATTATTGTGCCAAACTATATATAATTAATTCTAACATATAAAGATGATTGAGTTATCCTAATTATAATAAGCTTAAGGAACATGTCTTTTCAAAATGCTTTAACTTATATTATCAATAAGGATTGAGTTTATTGTGGTAGTTTTGTGTTGATCATGTGTTCAAATTCTAGCATGCTCCCTAGTTAGATCCCACATGCTTCTTTCCCTCTGTAAGAATTCCCTAAAGAATTCAACAGTTTCATGCATTCATGTACCATTTATTTGTAGTTTATGATGAGCAACTTTGATAAATTGTCAAGCTTAGTGAAAGTGAAAATATTAGTTACTCAGTCATGTCTGACTCCTGGCCATACCATGGAGTATAGCCTTCCGCTGCTTTGTCCATGGGATTCTCCAGGTAAGAATACTAGAGCAGGTAGCCATTCCCTCCTCTAGGGGATCTTCCGGACTCAGGGATTGAACCCAAGTCTCTTGCAAGAATCTCTGGCAGTTCTTTAGCATATGTTAGAAAGGAGACTTATTTTAGTCTTATCATTTATTATAATCTTGGACAAGTGATATGAAATTTATATTTTCTAAATTTCTTTTTTAATTAGTAAAATTAGAGAGTTAGACTAGGAAAACCTAAGGTCTATTTAATGTTAAATATGGTGTTTCAGATAATATGCTTGACAGACTCCTAGAGTTTAAGTGGGCAGGAAACTATTATGTGAAGTAATATGGTTTGCTGATGTCTTAGAACAAATTTTAAAAATCATACTCCTTAAACACGTATGAAGAATGGAAGCAGTGATTGATAGGTTCCTATTGCTTCACAGTTTCATTTGGAAAGAACTGAAGAAAATAAATTCATTTTGTTTCTGAAAGGAGTGAGATTCCTGTATATCCATACCTTCCTCTTTGGTTTACATTATGTGGAGGAGGACAGAGATTTTGGCCTTTTAGTTGTTGTAAGCCCATACAAGATTAGTGCCTGCACTCCATGGACTTTCAATTATTTGTTGAGCAAATGAACTCTACATCTAAAAATATGATGGTGCAGCAAGATTTATAAACAGAGAAAACAAATAATTTTTGGAGCTAATGATCAGTGTAGCATCTTACATTATTCAATGTTATGACCTCATTGAACAAGAGTGATTCATGGTAGTGAGAATTAAATAAGATTTTGGGAGGATATATAAGGATTTTGGAGTATGCATGCTAAATCCCCTCTGTCAGCTCCAACTGTTTGTGACCCTATGGACTGTAGCTCACTAGGCTCCTCTGTCCATGGAATTTTCCAGGCAAGAATACTGGAGTGGGTTTCTATGCCCTCTTCCAGGGGATCTTCCCGACCCAGGAATTCAGCCACATCTCCTGCACTGCAGGCGGAGTCTTTAAGGCTGAACCACTGGGGACGCCCTCTTTGGAGTATGGGGCCCGGGGTGTCTCATTTTGGTTCCTGTCCTCATCACCATACAGGTGCCTCAGGTAACTCTAACTGTTGGAGGCCATCCTGTTAACTTGCTTCTCTTTGGAGTAGAGCACAGATATTTTTCATGAATGTTAGTTACATAATAACACTCATAATTTCAAATATTTAGAATAAAGACATTTGACTTATATTTAATATAAAACCTGAAGCTCGAGAGTTTTTTTGTTTACTTGCTTGTTTGAGTTGTAAATACAATGTATCAGTGTACCAAGACTGTCTCTATCATATTGTTTTGCTTTGAGGAAATGCTTGCTACAAATCAATCAAAGTGAGTGAAAGTTACTCAGTCATGTCTGACTCTTTACAACCCCATAGACTGTCCATGGAATTCTTTAGGCCAGAATACTGGAGTGGGTAGCCTTTCCCTTCTCCAGGAAATCTTCCCAACACAGGGATCGAACTGAGGTCTCCCACACTGCAGGTGGATTCTTTACCAGCTGAGCCACAGTTCAGTTCAGTCGCTCAGTCGTGTCTGACTCTTTGTGACCCCATGAANATCTTGATTCCAGCCTGTGCTTCTTCCAGCCCAGCGTTTCTCATGAGCCACAAGGGTAACCCAATTAATCAAAATAGTATATAATTCTCAAAAACTCACTGGGATATTTCATATGTGAAAGCTATTTTAAAAAGGAAAAATAATAGTTGAATATGTTCTAGGGAAGCTCCTGTTATAGTTTATGGGAACTATACGAAGAGCAACTTTTTTATTCCTACCCTTGACAGCATTTATTGTAAGATATTGACTTATAAGGAAAATATAAAATAATTTAAAATAATAACATATACATACTTTACTTTTAATGTAACTTTTTAAATTAAGAAAAATACACAACATTTGGAATTTCTATTTCTTCTCATTCTAACCTTATAGATAAGATGAGAGAACAAAACAAATTATGCTATAAGCCTTAGGATGTAGGTTTTTTTTTTCTTTTATCTATTCAACTCAGCTGATCAGATCAACTTTTGTCCTTCTGAAAAATTTTAGTTATTGCAAAAAAATAGTCACTGATATTTTCAAGGTCACTTGCACAAGAAACATAGAAATCAAGTTAGATTATATATCTATGTGGAATCATTTTTGTAGTATGTAGTTAGTGTGGGGTAATAATGTAATATATTAGTGTTTTAAATAGAATGAATTTTAAAAAAATAGAAGCTAGCATATGATAAATTTATTTCATAGGGACATCCTTGGAATTTTAATATAAAATTATCAGTATATATTAATACAAATTCAAAATATCTATAATACTTTGAAATAGCAAAATTATAGACTAGGAAGAACATTTCACCACATTTTTGTTTTCACTGTCAAATAATATTGAATTTAAATTTATTAAAATATCTCTATTACAAAAGTTATTTAAAACATTTAACATACACTTTATTTTTAGCCTAATTCTGAATAATATAAATACATTTAAAGGAATAAATATTCAAATCAGTCACCTGCAGGTATTACAATATACCTTTTGTTTCTCTTGTTCAGATAACTGGTTTTCTTCTGTTTGACTTGATAACATTAAATT